GTCTATTTGACTACACAGTCCCTGTGTTTTCTATTCTATTTGTATTTTTGAGTCAAATTTCACTTACCATAGAAATGTTCTTCTTCTGGCCTTTTCCCAATAATGCTATCTCGGAGTTGACGTAGTTTTTCCTGAATGAGAACACAGGACATAGAGTATAGAACCAGGACACAGAAGTCAAGGGTTAAAATTTTTTCATGGATCAAGATGTAACATTGGCTACCATTATCAACACCATCACAACTCATTGGTATTAATGTGCTACTTGGGATGTCCCAATCACCATCCTTGGTACTTTTCATGCATTTTCTTTCTTAATTCTCAGCCCTTTATGGATTGGATGTAAAATATCCTCATTCCATTTCACACACATAAAGACTAAGGTACAGAGATGTTAAGTAACTGTCCCAAATCAGACAGTAATAAGTGGTAGAGTCAGGATTGTAACCATATCCTAATGCCTTCAGTATTTGTTTTCCCACCTTAACACGTGTGGGGTCTACCACATTGGCTGTTTGGTGTCCATTTATGGTTTGGGTATGAGGTATTACCCTTAAGGTCCTATGTTAATACAGGGATTTTCAGAGGTGAAATGATGGGAGTGTGAGAATTGTAACTTAGTCCATCCAAATTTAAATGGATGGACTCTTGGTACCTGTAAGCAAGTGGAGCATTTCTGGAGGAGGTGATTCACTGGTGGCATGGCCTGGAATGCTGCATTTCATGTGGCCTGTTCTTTCTCTCTGCTTCCTGGCTGCCACAAGGGGAGCAGAGCTGCTCCACCAGACCCTTCCCCCATGTGCTGCCTCATCTTGAGCCCAGAGCAATGGAGTCAGCCATCTATGGACTAGATCTCTGAAACTATGAGCCCCAAATCAACTTTCCTCCTCTAACTTGTACTTGTCAGATATTTTGGTTGTAGCATGTGAAGCTGACCAACACAGTGTCCCAAAGCAGAAGAGCTACACAGTGATGGTTTACAATTGCCTGAGCCCATCCTGTCTCTGTAGGATATTATTATTTCCTTGTGTTTTAGTTCTTGGAATTAGGTACTCAGGAAAAAATGATGTCTGCCGAGAGATTCTCCTTCTTAGCACATTTGTGATCCTTTTTTGTTTTATTGATATTCTATGTGGAACATCTATTTTTTCACAGGAGAGAAAAAAAAAACTAGCATTCAATAAGTCTCTTTTTAGAAGACAACCTGAGATAGAGCATTTTCCTCATGTGTTTCCCTAGAGTCCTAAAAACTATTTCCATTGCTTTACAGATCTTCGCCTCTGAGTGGAACCACACTTTTTAGGCCCTGAAGTGATGAGGAGTGAGAAGAGCAAAAAGCATTCACTTTCTCCATTATCTCCTTTCCATTGCCGGGGATCTTACATGGGTCTTCATTATTCTGAAAACTCTTCTACCATTAATTCCATTTGTGTCATTTTCAATAAAAAATATAATTTCACAGTTACCACTGATTAACTCATCCCCAGGAAAAAATGACTACTTTTGCAACTGTAAGAGAATATTTAAAACTATGTGGAAATGAATTTGTGTGTGTGAGAGTGTGTGTTGGGGACCAGGGAGAATATTCTTTTTAAAATTTTTTTTTCTGTTTGGACTTTTGTTGAGGCCCCTCTATTGAGTACTAATTTCTTTAATAGTATTCAAACAGAGTCACTAAGTGTTGGCCTCTTATAAAAAGTAGTCTTAGTGTCTGGTGGCCTACATTTATAGGTTAAACAAAAAACCCCACATTTTTTTCATAAATGCTTGTTTATTCTCCCATTATCCTTCTATGTCAAATTAGTCAGATCTGTTTCCATGTAGAGAGTATGATTTCCCTTAAATTTTTTCAAAAATAAGACTGGATATAAACATTCAGACAAAATACAAACAACCAGGAGTTTAATAAAACAACTAGTGAAATCATTTCCAAGAAATGAGATTACTCTCAACTGAAATCTTTATTAAAGTGTTGAGGAAGATAAATATGCTTGACTTACTTCAGCAAAACCTGTAAAATGTAGCACTGCTAGGAAAATGTTTAGTAGGTTTGTATTTATGCAGATTTTGCCTTATTTCAGGATAAGGGGATATGATGATGATGATATTGGAAAGGGTGGAGAAGCAATGTTGTAACTCTGATCATGAGCAAAAACAGTTTCAGAACGTTGCGATGGGTGTTGTTTAGCATTTGCTTGGCAAAATAACTCTCTTTACTTAGCATTGCAAAATCTGGACAAGGTCCAGCAATCATTCCACCACCAGAACCGCCCTTAGAGATAGGTGGTTTCTGACAAGGTGCCATTTCAGATATATTTGGAAAGTCCCTTTGTCTACACTGTCTCTTGCCTCTATGCCACATTGTTTGAAATTTCATCATTGTGACTCATTTTTTTT